GCTTTCAATTTACTTTAGCATCCAATTATTTGTAGATGCCCCAAATGAGCTGATCAAAAAAATATATTTTGTTTAGGGTAAAAACAAATTAGGACCTCATACTATTCAGTTCAACTCTCTGTCACTTTGGCCCTAAGCCAAGGAAGTAGAGGAAAATATCATATTTTTCTTTGGCATTAACTTCTAGGTCTCTCTTTCTGGCCACTTGACAACAAAAGTCACCCACTCTGAAAATGATTGATGTACATAGACAGTTAAGCCAAGCAGCTTTAACACTAGAGCTGCAGATGTCAGCCAAAGTGCTCTATTATTGGCAGAGGTGACGTAGCTTTGAGTTTGTACATCTGCATGTACAAACTCAATCAGTAATCATCCTTCAGACGATACTCTGGTCTCAATCTTCAATGGTTCTGCTGTGTAAGCTCTGATCACAAAAAATAGGTGGAAGAAAGTACAATAAAAAACGATCACTGCACCACTACGTATGATTGACATCTCACCGTTTGTAAGTGAACGTGATCATGTGATCATTATTGACATGCAGTGATAAATTATATTCAGGCTCAGAATCAGAATTTATAATAAAAAAAATATTTTGTAAACAAAGGACCTTTTAAGACAACTAAATACAACATCGTCACTTCTGGAAACAGCTAAGCCCTCCTAACATTTTTCCAATGCCCTCCACGACACAGGTCGAGATGTCAATTTTTCTTCCATGGTCTATGGTGCAGGACAAAAAAAAAGACAATCTGGTAAGTTTCGAAATGTGTTGTTTTGTAAAGTACAATCTCAAAAAGTCACTTTTTTGGAGCCACCGCTGAAATAACACCTGATCCACCTCTGATCTGATGAACGTTTCCACTCCGCTCTGCTTTGCAGAGGGCAGGGTCGTCAATTCCCCGATTTCTTGTTGCTGCTGGGAAGTGCAACAAAACACACAAGTACAATTTCAGAAGTAGAATGTACGTGCGTGTGGGTACACACACGCTCACAGACCCTTCCTGGTGAAGCCCTGGACTGTGAGAATTGGATATTGGATGTTATTTCCTTCAGTCCTGAAGCTCTCTGTGACAGAGACAGGGTTTCATCCTGCTGTAAACATAAAGCACACCAATCAAAACTGACAGCCCTCAGACAAAACACTAACCTATGACACACTGCCGCCTAAAGTCTCTCATTAATGTCCACTAATATATTGTTAATAACAAACAGAAAGAGATTTTAGTGTCTGTCAAACAACAGCAAATATTTATTGTTGATTCTTAAATAAACCAAACAACCTTTTTAATTGATAGTACGGTGAAGGACAAACAAATGATCCAACAATGAAAAAAAACACACATGAGTGCTACATGAAGGGGTTGCTCTCAGAAAGTGGATCCAAACCACTGTGCACATTCATGTGCCACAACAGAACCATGAAAAATTATCCAGATTTTTTAACTGTGACAGTGAAAGGCAAAACGACTACATGATTTTCCACTAGGTGGCAGCATATGACTACAAAAACTCTTAAATTTAATAAAAATAGACTCAGAACTGTTATAGATCTTTATATGTATTTCTTTAATTCCTGCAAGCACATTGGTGTGGTGTTCAACTAAACAGGCCCTGGTTTCACAAATTACGAGTTTATTGAAACAAGAAGATCATTATATATCACTAAATACGTTTGGTGTTATTTTTGTTTGGTGGTGTGCTATTGGTTTTTAAAAATAAAATATGTGATGTGGATGAAAATGGGTTTGGGAAACACTGTTCAAAGACATCAAGGGAAGCTCAGCTTTCTCTAAAATGTCATGAAATAAATTGTGAAATAGCTGTCGTACTGTATTTTCCACAATGGGTTCTCTTACACACATATAAATACATAAGAATATAAGAATGTGATTAATCGACAGCAGTCAACATCAATTCATTTTGTAAACTGTCAAAATGCGTTACCTTCTTTGGTGTAAAAATGTTTGGCATGGATAAACTCTTTGTTGGCTCGACCTGCTTTCATTCCAGATAACAAAGGCAGTTTTGACAGCACCGTTGAAGGAGTGTGTATTGAGGATAACTTGTTGCTGGGAAATGCAGCTTGTCTTCAATACGAGTCTCAGCAGTATTTGAAATATCATCATCCTTCTTCCTAAGTATTTCCACAGCCCCTTGAGGTCGGTGTTTAAACAAAGATACCATGACAAGTTTGATTTTTCACCACCGTTTAAGTTGAAACCCTTAGGAATTATTCTCAGATTTATTGGAAGAGCTAACTCGTTACTTTTCAAACAGTCTACTGTGGGCTTTACTGTACTACTATTAATTACCTGTACAACCATAAATCAGTTTGTAATTCAAATATTATATGTATATTTCATGCATATATTTTCCTCACTGGTTCAGCCTGCTGCTCTAGATAGTAGCTGCTAATGCTACTGTATTTACTGGTCAAATACTGTTGATTCCTGCCAGTTGCAACGGGTATTTACCTATTACTATGTCTAGATGTGAAATATTTCTTCTTTAACTTTGACTATTTAAAGTAAAATATTAAATTATTGGGACTTTAAGAAAAATAAAATAGAAATAGGATATGACCATGGGGCTGAAAGTTAAGGTCAATGTCTCTAACACAATCATCTAATAACCATTGTAATTCCTCAGGCATCCTGCAGGGAATACTTTCTTTATTTCTGCCCAGCCGTTTACACTGCGACATTACTGTTTTATGATTAACACGGGTGAGATTAAATGTGCTCTGCTGTCGGGAGCAACACTGAGGTTTACTTTTCATTACAAAGTGACACTGTAAATACGCAGGGTGATTATTATTCTGATGAAATCCTTTACTTTTTAATGACGCTAAATTGCCCATTTTTGAAATAAACTAATCACAGTCTGCTGGGTCACAGAGAATGAGCTTTATATTTGAATTAACTCTGGGAGAGGGCGTTACCAAGTCGCAGGTACGAGGGGAAAGTCAAAAAATTGTCAGACAGATGACATCTGGAGCAAACGCAAAACTCAAGTCTTTGAGTTTGCGTTGTGCTAGTCCTGAGTCTAAAATTACTGTATACTTGTTTCTTCAGATAGTAAAAGCATTTTTTTTCTTTTTTCAGGCAGGAGTGTGCTTGAGTCAGAGAAAAAGAGCCAACAAGATGCACTTCAAAATGAAAGCCACTTGAAACATTACAAATTTAAAAAGTGTCAGCTACTACAGCGACGCAACAATGAAGCCCCAGAAACAGACTTGTAGTAATGCACTGCTGGACAAGACTAATGTGTCAAAGTGGTGAAATAAACCACCTGCAGGGTAACATACAGATTTAAGAACAACAGGAAGCCGTGTTTGCAGGTGAAATCTAAACACCTATTGGTTTTCTAAAAATACTAAATGGTACAAAAACACTCACAGACTATTCATACATCTTGTCTAGTCAACCTATCAGCCGTAGAGCTATTTACTGCCCTGCACTTGGCAAGATTAGTCTGATTCAAGCTGAGCATCCGACCTGAAGCTGATTCAACAAACACTTTTGGCGTCGAGATGGTATTTTAAACTCAAGCTGCTTTGTGAAACAAAACATTTTCCTGCAATGTGTGAAAGCAACCTGTGCAACGGCTGTGACTTAAAGCAACTGTACAGTAAGAGGATGGACGGTGGAATTTGACACAACTTTCACAAAGGTTTTTAAATGATTAGCACCTCTGGTTGTTCCACTTACATACAAATGTAGAAGCTGTGCATAACACAGCCAATAGGTTGTGCCCATCAGCTCAAAACGAAGCTCTGACCTCCATACCCACTCGAACACAACATGCCATAACGGGCACATCTGCAGCCTCTATTCCTGTTTCTAAAAGGTGACTTTATTTGAGGTTTAATCTCCTCCTGTCAGCAGAGCAGGTGCAGTCTGTTCAGGAGGTTGTGTTACACACAGCAGCAGACCTCAGACGTCTGTCTCGACACTGCTGAATCAATAGCAGTGACATATTTTTAGATTTCAGTGGTGGCTCTGGTGTCTAACGTCTTTTGAAGCAGCTAAAATGTGCAACAGAGACAAAAGACTGAACACTGATCTAGATTCTTTTCAGTCCAGCAGAAGGTTCAGCACAACTTCAATATTCACTTTCCCACTTTCACATCTGTCACATTCTATCACCTGTCGGCGATGAACAAAGACATTAATTACCTTTATCTATTCCGTCTGATTCTGAAATATGCCACACTTAACGGTAAAAATAAAGAGGTATTACAGAAGGGAAGTGAACTTCTTGTCTTTGTGACACAGCACACCACTGCACACAACCAAATGTGACCTCTGTTTTTAACCCATCACCACAGTGAACAGTGGGCAGCTTTAAGCTCAGAGCACCTCAGTGGTAACTGGGCAGCTGGTGGACTCAAACCTGAAGCCTTCTGGACCCAAGTCCGCTTCCTTAACCACTAATCCGCCACTGCTCCAGGCAAAAATGATTATGAAAAAGTATTATGCTGGGGTATTTGAATATAAAACTTGAAACATGGCTGGCTGGTAACATGTTGAGTCATAATCCAAACCCAAATACAAGGAAACAAGATTGAAACATTCATAAAAAGTAAATGACTTAAATTAAAGGTGCTAACATCCTTAACATCACAAGCATGAAATCTTTAGGGTAGCAGTGAATATTGAGACAAAAAGAATGCATTTAGTAAGAGTACATTCTTGTTTTTCACTGGATTGTTGATAAAGCTCTCACTAGGTTGTGATCAACAACTACACTGCACACAGACCAGAGTGACATTTGTTCATACCATACACAAAATAATATAATCTCCAATATTTCATTTTTACAGTTAATATAATTCAGACTTTCTCTCGAGATAAACTTTAGCATGAACATCATTAAGAGTTTAACTATCCTGATGATATATGCAGAGAACATGTTTCAGTTGTCGGTCATGTTGTTTTCTGTTTTGGTGTTCAAATGACAAAATCATCACATCCAGCTGAGAATGTTAAAATTACCTGAAGGTCTGGAAGTGTAGTCTCTGCAGAACATGTTTCAGTTGTCGCAGCTCAGCTCAGCTCAGTTCAGTTCAGTTCAACCATCTGACAGGCATCTGACAACTGTGTGTCCTGAACAGGTGAAGCACATGTTTCAGCCAAGATGGCTGACTCAAGTTCACAACCTTAAGGTTACCTTCTTCCTTTGAATTTCAAAATAAGGGCTCACAACACATTGGGGTTTTTTTGCCAGTCAAAACATATGATGATATGATACGCTGAGGGATCAAATGGAACAACGTCAACTGTAAACTTGGACTAGAATCAGGACCTGCTAACCTGCTGTGCTAAAATTCTAGAAGCCACAGACAAGATACACGTAAAAGACTTTAAAAGGAAAGGTGGTTGTTATATAAAGCATCTGCATCTATAACAGTAAACTGTTCATCAAACTAGCCTTAAAATAAAGCAGAGGAGGGGTGTCTTTTTACTGTAATCAAATGCCTTGCACATAAAATAAAAAAAACAAGCTATAGATCTACAGATTACACAGTCAGAGAACAATAAAGCTTTCAGTTTAAAGTTTAGAGTTTTAAAAATTAACACCATCTGTTTTATGACAGTCCTACATTTTAAAGCTGGATCCTATAGTTGGCCGAGTTTCCTTACCATCACTGCTTTATCCACAATAACAACTATTTCCTCTTGAGTTTCTCAGGGTGCCCAAACTGTTCAACAAAGGTCCACTGTGGTTGCAGGTTTTTGTTCCAACCAAGCAGTGGCACACCTGGGATGACAGGTTTAATCAACTGATCACAGTCTTCAGACAGCTGATTGGTCGAACTATGTGCCCTTGGTTGGTTGGAACAAAAACCTGCAGCCACATGGCCCATTGAGGAATTGTTTGTTGGATCTAGTGACATCTAATGGTGAGAGTGCACAGTGACTCTTTTACCCGTGGCCTCTCTCTCCTAATCTTGTTTTTGACCATCAGTGTTCATAGACAGTAGATGGTCCATTACTGTTTACAGCAAGCAGATGCTCCTTGATGTTGTGTGCATGGAGGGACAGTCATGGACACTGTCAACATGTAACAGATGGTTCATGTCTCAAGTGTTTGGGAGAAAATAAATATTGGAAAAGACAAAGGTCCATCCAGACTGTAGACGAGATGGAGACGAGAAAATCCAGCATGGTGTTTTTTTACAAATCAATTTCTACATAATGACAATATATTACATATATAGATTTGAATCACATTCACAAAGGACAGTTAACAAAATATTGTATTAGCTTAAAGAGCTCAATATTTTGACTGACGTTCTATAACTGAAGTTGTTTAAACACATTTGTAATGTATTCAGTAGACACAGTACCTGGTATTTTGTGTGTCATTATGTCTCCTTACCTCAACACCACTTAAGACAGCACAACATGAGCTAAACAAAAACAAATGTTTGGTTCCTGTCACTGCTTCTGACGTTAATGCACCATCTCCGAAGTTTGTTCTATGAATGCCGCCCTCAGGAGTAACAATTAACACAACGCAGGCTGTATATTTGAGTCTTCAGGCAGGCCGGCCATTCTGACTCCAAAGAACTCAGAGTTAAAAGCACGGTTAAAATGAACATGACTTTCAGAGAATAAAAACATTTAGTGTTTTTTACCCTTTAATGTACTCTTTATATTCCTTAATGGAGTTTTTTGTACTTCACAAAAGGAAAGGCAGGTAGAAAGGATAGGGTGGAGGTTTGAACCCATTCCCTACTGTCTGGTGGATCTTAGTGGTCTTTTCAAACTGTGAAAGCTCACATAAGACCACGGTATTAAAATATAAGCTCCACTGTTGATTCCAAGCTAATCCCTTGGCACTTCCTTTAACGCACTTTTACAAAATAAAATATAAATAAAACATAAGATATGTGTTCATTTATTTTATGATGTTTTCAATGAAGCCGAGCTTATTTTGCTGTTTTCGAGCAATCCCCCCTGGAGCTGACAGTCAGGATTTAAACTTTTTCAGCACAATGTAAATAAAGATATAATAAACCACACCAAGCAATTTTAATTAGATTGTTTTTGTTTGTTTTGTTATTTCTTTAACTTTTAGGTGGAACCATTTCAACACTGTAATGGTTAATCCCTTAAGTAAACCGTCCAATGGTTGATTAAAGGACAGAAGCTTGAGGCAGCCTGGGTAAAGGGTCTTAGCTACCCATAATCCTTCACTGAGGTAATACCTGTACACAACAAAGTGGCCCAAAATACAAAACAGATAATAAGAGAGAATATGAATTGAAACTGCAGGAAATCTTCATTTACCTCAGTAACTCTGTGCTCATGCCCCAGTTACTGCACACTGAGGGGTCTCTCTGCTCCTGTAGGTCATGGTCGGGCTGTGACAGAGGGAAAACCAAAGATAATGAGGTAATACTGCCCTTTTCCTGCTTGATCTTGGTTAAGGTCAATATACTAGAGATAGATGATGGATTCCCCATGCCTATTAGGGTTTGAGAAGATTTAAGGAGTAGACACAAAGTAAAAGCAAAAGTTAAACGAAAGTTAAATTCATCTCCAGCTTGTCTCCCAGTTATGGAGCTGATCAGTGCCCAGTTGTCAGAGAGAATAGAAGAAGAACATTCCTTTCAATATAGACTCTGCTGATCTGACTGAGAATACCATGTTAGGACTTATGCCTTATGCTCAAAATGTCATTACAAGTGCAATGCAACATTAGATACTTCTCTACAAGTCATCCCCGTGGTACATTTTGTTCTTCTATAAAATAATAAAATAAAGAAAGAAAAACAAAGAAAAACTGAACATATGCCCTGTATGTGTCTCCTTTGATTAACAGTTATGGGGCCACATGCAGTGAAGACAAGACAACTTCTTAACTATTTCAATTCCTATTCATACCCAAATAATTCTCTACATTTCTTCACCATTAACACGTGTTTTAGCACATGCGCAGTCAGCACTAGCATGTAAGCATTTACCTCAGATCATTTCTGTATTAATAAAGAGTCGGTCATACTGACTGCTGTGGTATTATATGGAGAATTCATTTAAAAAGTTTTAGACTTCATTGAGGCTTTTTAAAAATTCAATCGTGAAGTCTGTTTTTCCTCAGTAGTGTCGACAGAAGACTCTTTTGTTGTCTATAGATTTGTGTTTGTTATGATTATTGTGCTTCATGTGAAATGCGTACGTTTGTCTGTCACAGTGAGTTGCGTTGTGCGTTTCATTGCACGTGCCGACAGATGACTTCCAGGGGGAGCGTACAGCTTTCTTTCTCCGTCTCATCTGGTCCCCTTTGATCATGAACAGCCAGCAAACAACAAACAGTGAGTAACATTTTTATACAGCAGTGAAGCTGTGTTTAATTATTTAGCGAATGAATATAAATTAAATTGAGAGCCTGAGTGGAGGATTAATGTCTTAACCCAATTCTCTTGTTTCAGTCTTAACTTACAAAAGGCTGTCTGTGAGAAGGAAGTGAGTGACAATCAAGAAAACAATAACATTTATTTATTGATTCATAGGTTATACATCTCATGATATAATAGCGATATTATATTATTGGCAAAGATACTATAATCCAATTGCATTTCTATACATAAATACAAAATCTGAGGTAGGGCCTCAAAGATTGATGACATTGAAAATAAATAAATGCATTTCACATATATTATATATCTTCTTTTTTTACATCACACATATTTTAAAACATATCTGTTATATACAGTATCTACTCACTATTGTGAAGGATGGAAGGGTGTCATGGGCTGTTTAGAGGCACATTTCTATATCCATAGGCAGCAGTACCTCACGTTGACCACACGGAAATATGACATTACTCAAGTAATTAGAAATTTTAACCTATGCACTCATAGGTCACACAATAAAGTGCCGAAAAGACACAAACAGACATAACAATAGGAATACTGGTACCATATGAGACAGATATATAAGCTAGTCAGTGGTGTGGTTCTGGAAATACATATCATTTTCTACCATTAGAGGACATCTATAAGGCCAATGGTTACCTGAAGATGTTTTGTAACATATTGGCAAACACTGAGGAATACTAGATGGACATGAATGGCAGTATCTTAACCTCCAATACCAAGATTACACATTCCCATCTTTAAAAAGTCTCTCTGTTCCCGTTACAATTCTAGAGTTAAAGTCGTCTTTCTTTGGTTACTTATACTGCCCAAAGATGACTTGCAGGCAAAGCTTATTAACAGTTACCTTTTCTTCTCTCTCCTTGGTAAAAGGGGCATCGGTAACCCCCCAGTTTCTTAACGTTATATAGAACAAAAAACTCCTTAAGGCAAACATGCATGGAACTCTACCACTGAGGGATAAAGGATGGAGTTTAATATACATGGACATTGAGCTACAGCAACACAAACTGCACATGCAAGCCTGTCAGTGTTATATTTCATGAAACAAAGTCGTTTTAACTGAATCCTTATTTTTATACTTTTTTTCTTCAATGCAAAAGCAGGGAAGCCCCTGATGATGAGGACAGTGAGAGTCCTAACTGTCCTCATCAAATCCAACAGCAGGGCCTAGAAGTACTTTAAGTAAGTCTCACTACAAAGGTTTAAGGTTCAACAACATTCATGATTACATGATTTAAAATGCCATCCTGGCTCGTGACCCACACGGCTCTCACATCCTTGGAGCGTCTGTTACACATTTGTCTGGTAAAGAAAAGTCCAGTTCAAATCTCAGCTGATTTGTCTTTCCACAGTCCACTCCAAGACTGACCATGCAAACATCTGAGTGACCTTTTTCACGGAGGCCAGTTCAACTAATACAGAGACACACAGGCACACACAGACATACAATATCATTGTATTTGAACAAAGAGATCTAAATCTACAAAGACTCAACAAAGACAAAATCAACACTGTGGAGCAAGCAAGCGATTTCATAACAGGGCTTTTGTGCTCATTGGTTTATTATTGTTATTATTATTATGGGGTTTTTTCTGAACTGTACAACCTCTGAATACATAGCTGTGCTGTGTTTCCTGTCGAGATCAAGAGAAGGTTAAGGTTACTATAATGGTTGGGGAAACGCTGTTCACAAAACAATAATTTACTAGATTGAGCTAAAAATTCATAAATGACTCATTTTGTTTAAAACATACTGTTTCTCTGAATGTGATTGAGTCAAGTAGAGGCTAGCTGCTCACTAATTCACACTAAGAAAAGGCTGCAGCAGTCAGACTCAGCAGGTTCATCAGGCGTCTGTGCTGTTATAGCTGATGATTGCTTTTAAACACACCCCCGTCGGACCCTCTGACAGTAGTTCACGAGTGCTGGATGAGACATAACAGCACGACTTAAAGGGAAATAAGTTCCAGTGACACCGAGCTTCTCTAAGGACAACACAAGACAGTTCATTTATACAAGTCCAAAAAGGTATGGGCATGGAAATAAATAAAGGTATGGAACGATCTGCTGTGCTACTGGAGTAGTCTGCAGACGGCAACATTATTTTTATATATTTCATCAGACCGCAGTCAAAACAAGTTCTCTAACTGCAAAGTGAATGAAGTGAAATGAACTTGTGAGCAAATCTTTTCATTTGAGTCCATGTGATTCCAAATCATTTCACGGTGTGATGTTTTGTTGTATTTCTCTTAAACAAAATGGAAAATCATACTCGACACAGTCACTCAGAACGGGTCAAATCATCATCACATCCAAGCAACAGCAGGTAAGACGGCTAAATGTTTGTTGCATATAAAGATGTGCGTTTAAACACAGATCTTCCATAACACACATCTAAATGTGTATTTTTCAAATTTGGGATGGCTCTTCTCTGTTTCCTATGCTGATTTTTTTTTTCTTTTTGTGCAACTACCAGAGTAGTTGGGATCAAATATACCTGAGACCCTGTTTTCATGTTGGACACAGAAGCAACACAGAGGAGGCGTATGACTGTGGAGACACGGCGGCCCCCAGAGCTCTACCACAAACAACAGACAAAGTACACTTCCAGGGACGGAACCGGCGTTTTCGGCCGTAGTTTTTTTAATCTACTCACATGTAGCGGCTGCTCCTAACATTGTGAGAAAGCAACAACACACACGCTTACTAGAAGAGGATAGGCTTTTTTTAAAAGAGGTGTACAATGTAGTTCAAGATATTACCGCCAGCAAGACAAACATAGAATTTATAGTTCACACACACACATATACACTCGCTTAGTATCTACCTTGCTAGCTACCTTCTTTGCTGGAAGCAAAATGATACATAATATATTTTATATGATAGATAAACTGTTTGTGTATATATTTATATATATATTTTTATATAATTTAGGAGATTAAATGGCCACAGTGTCATCTACTAGAGGACATTCCTCACGTGGGAATGTGCACATTTATATTCTATGACGATATGGCAGGAAGATGTTCACAATGGTTCCTGGGCTTCACTGGGGGAAAACTCACACACATCTACTGAACCAGGTTCTCTGGGTGTTGTTGTGACGCAGGAGGCACAGATCGCAGGTTTGGACATTTTACATGAGCACTGTATGTTCTACAGGATAGGATCAGAGTCTGACTACTGTGTGCAGTATTTTCCAAGGCAGTTGATTTTTTTTTTCATTATCTACGGAGCTTTGTACACAGATGGATCAAAAATGGATCAAAACATTCCCAACAAGCTTGTTTGACCATTTCTTTCTTTCTCTCCTTCAATTTTCTTATTTTATTTTCCTGTCTGATTTCAGCAAGTTGATTGATTACACCTGCACACATTATGATCACACGCTCACACACACACATACTACACAAACACACACACACACAGAGCTCCCTAGGGAGCAGGTGTGGTTAGTCTAATATTGCAAGTGCAGTCTGAGCTGTGTCATTTTATGACACACATTTTCTCTTGGAATAAAGATCCCTGGGAAGGGCTGTGGATGTGATGACTGGTCATGTGTGGGTGGGAATGAAAGCCCGTTAACCCAGTACGAAAGAAGCAGCAAAGGAGTTGATCCCACCTGGGCGGCTGCTCTTCACTGAGCGAAGAAGGAGGAGTAGTGAGGAGAACGGAAAGCAAAGTAGAGAGGACCAAGCAGGTCTTGACAAACGAAGCACGAGGAGGTGAAGAATGGAGTGAAGAAAGAGAGATAAATATGGAGAAAGAGGAGGAGAAGAGCACTCTGACCCCTCCTGGTGGGCCCTGTAGGGGCAGACGGTGGTGAGTGTGATTCCGCCAGGGCAGCTGCTACTGGTATGAGCCCAGCTGGAAGTCCTTCGGGGGCAGTTTGAGCCCTAGGGAGTTGGTTCCCAGAGGGTCAATCATGTTCTTGTAGCGTTCTCCACGGTGCTTCATCAGGAATGGACCCCAGTCTGGCTGAGGAGAGCAGACCAGCTTCAGACGCTGCAGGAGGAGAAATGATACAAACAGCCCATTACACATAGACAGAATAAATACAGTCAAGTCTATGAAGCAAATCCAAACTGTTTCATTCTAAAAAATGAAGTCATTTTGTCATTTTAGTACTGGAAATATAAAGATAATATAAAATTGTATTTTTCACTTTCTCACTTGTTTGCGAAAGGTGTCGTGTCTGTATTTGTGTCCTTGTCGTTATGTGGATGTTATGACTGTTTTGATGCCTATTCATAAAAATCTCAATGAAATCAACTGAACCATAAATATTGTATAACGAGGGACAAAAGTGACATTTCTGTAAAATGTAAAACAAATGCTGTGAGAATGATGTTTCGAGTAAATAAACCTCAAAGACAAGGACAAGTGTGTGTCAGAGTTACTGAGGAAACTCAGACGTTAGGACACAAGGCCACAGCCGTCATCAGCTATTAATCTGAACAAGTTACTTAAAGGAAACCGTTACTGCACTTTCAGAAATGTGTTTGAATTATTCTTCCTGCAGTGTGTGTGTGACTTCTGCGTGCTAACGAGCCAAGGACGATGCTATTGATTTGTCAGTGTGTGTTTGCTGCACTGGGAATGTGTGTGTGTGTTAAGTAGAAGTAGTAGAGGACTAAAACCAAAGTGTGTCAATTCTCATCAACGCTTCAACCCAATTTTTACCTCAACAAAGCTGCCAGGTGCGAGATACATTTTAATGGCAAACATGATGGGGATCCAGATCACGGAGCAGATCACCATGAGCCAGCCCATAACCATGGACCAGGTGGGGTAGGTGTAGTCCTCATATGTCATCACCTTCCACTGGTACAAGCTGAGTCCAAGGATGCCCTGAAAAAGCCATAACATAAAACAAATGTTCTTAAAAACAACATGATTGTATTCTGCTTCTCATTTGACTTTGAGGATCGTTCTGATGCATCAGTGTCTGTGGGACTGTGGATTTCACCGTCTCAACTGAGTTCAGTAAAACTGACTCATCAGTTCTGTTTGCAGAACTGAATCAGATTCCCCGAGTGTTTCCTAGTTCCCGTTAGCTACTTTGAAGAGTAATGTGAAGATAATAGAGAGCAGTACGTGGGAAAATAGATGAGGATTTATCGCATTTCAGTTTGTCTTGTACAGTGCTTTAGTTGGAAGGTACAGAATAAAACAATCTACTGGATCATACAGAATTAATCACTATAGTCCTTTATTATCTGCAGGCATTTACCCTCTACTTTATTCATTTACTGTATTTGTCTTACTTTTGTTATTGATTGAAACGCTTCTTGGTGGCAATGATTCTACTGAAACAACGATCCAGTAGGTGGCAGTAATGCAACTGAAATTAATTTAAAGTCAGCAGTGTAAATAAAAAATATATATATACAAATATATATATATAATAGGCACATGTTTACCTCTAACCTTTAATTCCATGATTTTTCAACCATGGGGTCTTAAAATATCTGGTAATTAATTTTTAAAAACTACTGCTAAAAATATTTTTGGAACAAATTCTTCCTATATTATGATTAAAAACACTACACACAATCTTAAAAACTGTCCTTCACTTGTATGAACTGAACTAGTTTTCTAATAAAATGCAGCATATCAAACTATCTGAGCTGGTGCATCTTGATTGGCAGCTGTGATCACATGAATGTTTTTGGGGTTGCCAGAGATTTTTGGTGTTAAAATGGGGTCACAAGCCAAAACAGGTTAGGAACCACTGCTCTTTTCACCTGAGGAAGAAAACTGAAAATACCTGGAGAGAGCACACCTGCACATGGGGGGAATATAAACAGAAACACACGGCGGACTACTAATCTCTCCTCACCACGTTTAAGAACTCCGACAGGAAGAGGAAGGCAGACGAGGATTCTAGCCTAGTGATGTGCATGAATGAGCCGTGAATGAGGAAACCTGATCCTTCTGGAGCAGCTGGATTTTCAATTTGTCATCGTCACTTCTGCTTTAGAGCTACAGTGGTTTCTATTAATAAAAATGCAACATAATACTCACCACCGCCCAACAATGACACACTGGTAAACATTGGTTATCAGGTTCAAAGCATCTGCTGCACAGCTAGTGTCAAAAAACGAGGCCGTTCTCTCAGAAGAAAGTATTTTCTATCTCTCACAAACGTACGAGTGTGTGCTGCAGCTGAACTGGTTCAACACAAGCCATTTGGCAGTTAGTTCTGTGAAAAACACAAACAACTGGAGACGTGGCGATATGACAGGAAGGGGGAAATATTTTTTGGTTTCAGCTCAACAGGAGCAATTTCTTCTCTGTTCCCTTCCAATGGCAAATCAATGAACTTGAAAGGCGACAGTGAAAATTGAAACATATTAGTCTCCACACACCCGTGTGTGTGTGCATGTGCACGGGTGTGTGTCTGTGAGGGGAACGAGATGAGGAAAAACAAACACACCGTCAGAATAGTCGGTGTCACAAAAGCCCAGCAGATTCTCCAGAATCGGTTTGGCTGGAAACCAATCATCATTTCAATGTCCTCACAAAACCTCTGCAGACCTGCGGAGAAAAACAAAGAAGAGGAAAAATGGAGTAAGAGAGCAGGAAAGACAGAGAGGGAGTTTAAAAGAAGAAGGCAGTGGGAGTGACCTGGGTATAATAAGGTCTTTTTAAAAGGGCAGGAGAAAATTCAATTCATCTGTGTGAGAATGTCTATGTGTGTGTTTGACAGACAGAGAGCGCTCTCCCCCTCTATGGGAGACAAAGAGGTGGACTCATCACTTTCTCTTGTCCCTCACAAAAGGGCGAGGAAGCAGACGGCTTCATTCCTCTGCCTTTATTGACGGATAACATTGAGTGACATGAAGACGCAGAGTCACACTATCATTTCAATATGACACCTGTACTGATGCCCTGACAAAATGAAGGAGAGCCACTGACTCTGCGCCCCAGTAACAGGCTTCTGACACACAACACCTGTGCTCTGAGGCTGTGTGGGACCTCACACATTACAACAGAGACACCCAGTGGATAACTGCGGGAACAGCAGTCAAGGAAATGAGTTCAAGAAAGAACTCTGTGACAACTGCCACTTAGAAAAGTGGCAAAGAAATATATATAAAAGCAGTATACACATATATATATATATATATATATATATATATATTCAATTCTTCATTGAATATAAAACAGCATTTTCTTAATTGAACTGATCAAGTGGTGAGGATGTTGACATTGAGTGTAGAAAGGCATTATAATGATTGCAGCTAAACCTATTATAAAAAAAGTGTTTTTTAAAGCCATCACTTTGTGCAACACTAACACCATAGTACATACTTAGACACCTGATCTTTATGTTCTATCATTTGACCTGGTGACCTGATTGAATGTCTTTGCATTGTTAGGAGTTACTCCGGATGGACACACCATGGCTCCCAGTGAATTATACTATATTATTATAATAATTATACTTCACTCAGGAGATTTAACTTTCCCAGCCTGAGATGTTCACTTTTTAAAATGTCATTTTCAGCCTCGTGTGACCTACTCACTCAGTTGTACTCACCATAAAGGTAAGAAATCCCCACCAGCTCGAAGATGGCGATAATTACCAAAGAGTAAGAGGCTGCAAATGTGTCCACCAACTGAAGCATGTACATCCCATTCTGTTACAAAGACAAGAAAAGAGCCACACACACGTCAGTGCTGCGTCTGTCACCCATATTCACTTAATTGGCAAGTGTGACCTGTAGTAGGTGACAAACCTCTGTGATCATGGGGAATCCTAGGATGAAGAAGGAGGCACAGCAGATCAGAGTGAAGAGTGGCTTGTGTTTCCTCAGGTACTTGGGAAACTCATCAGACACCGAGGTGACGATGGTCTCGATGGTTGCAAACTGGAGTCGAGAAAAAGAAAATACAAAAGCACTGAAAAAATTGTAGGAGTTATAGGAGTGAGGGGGGTGTACTGCAGATAAATAAAAGATTGAATTAACTGACAGTGAAAACGATGGTGACGGCAGCTAAACAGCCTGACCGTGGACTGAAAACACATCACTGTGAATCCTAATTGACTTCAGAGAAATATTAAAAACTGTCCAGTTCACAAAGGCCTTTCAATTCTAAAGCCTCCTGTCAGCAGGTTTGGTTCATTTGAATCTGTGCCACTGCTGCTGTCAGCAGTTCTGCCCTCAGTGCTGTGCGGCGGCCATGCTGAGTCCTCTTCACATTAACATGTGGTCTCATACATTGTGTGTGCATGGCCCACATAGACTGCCACCTCTTCGCTCCTCTTCCTTCTCCAGAAACCCCCTAAAGGAATCCCCCATCAACATCTAAAGCCTTTTACTGTGGAGCTGCTTTCAACAGCACACAGATGAGGCTGCCAGAGAAAACTAACGTCATCATTTACTGCTACTGTTGACTGCTGTCTTAATGCACCGCTGTGCCATCTGCCTGCACCTGGAGGTGCTCTCCTCTTCTGGAGAGTGAGCGCCGTGTTTACTGAAGTCACATCAGGACTTTGAAAAGTTTTACAACTCGAGCCGAATGGTTAAAGTGTTGTACTAAACTGGAGTCATCTGAAAGCAAAGTACTTCCTGACTGACAGAAACTTCAATAGAGGAAGAAGAGGAGGAAGAAGAAGAAGAAGAAGAAGATGCTTATTTTAAACAGTGTTTCCTTCTGCAGCAACCATCAGTTCACTTATTCAGTTGTCCCTCTTGGTTTCTACCTAGTTAACAGTCAGGAGCTGTAGCAAAGATTAATCAATAAACTACATTTTTGAAGAAAACAAATTAAATTACTACACAGGATCAATAACGTTTGGAAAAGTTTGTTGTTTAGAGAGAACTGCAGAAGTCCACTCAACCAAAATGTGTTCATGTAGAACAGGATCCTAACTGAGAGAGTATTATCTTCAAACCATAATAATAACAATAATAATAATGTTGTTGTTGTTATTATTATTATTTATTTTTATCAGTATTTCATCAGTATTATTACTTATAAATAAGTAAGGATTTAAAATACAGGTGTGACCAGGTTTGTCACACAAATACAAGGCTACATATTCTGTGATTACTTTAACAATTGAATATTATTTTAAGAACATCAAAATTAGTTTGCATGACTTTTTGTTTTGTTTTTTTGTTGTGTTAAAGAACTGAATCAGCTTGGGCCAATGTGTTTGAGGATGAATGAAAATCAAAGACAAAAAATGAGGAAGAGAGTGTGTATCTATTACCATAGTGTCCAGGCCAAGGGTGAGGAGCATGAGGAAAAATATAATCGCCCAAAATGGAGACAGGGGGAGTCTGGTCAGAGCCTCTGGATACACTACAAAGGCTATTCCAGGACCTGTAACATAACATGACACACATGGATATAAACAACCACACACACACACACACACACACACACAGTTGTTCTGCTGCAGCCGATCACTTCATGTCCTTACCTTCATCTGCCACCTTCTCTATCGGTACCTTTAACTCGTGGGCCATGAAACCAATAACTGAGAAGATGACAAAACCAGCAAATATACTGGTAGCGCTGTTTGTACACGTCACAATGATCGTGTCCCTGTATGAGACAGAGAAGAGAGGAGGGGGCGGGGGAGGGGTAAATATCTTCATTAGTCTCTGTCAATTTTATGTCATGTTTAAAACATGACACATGCGCTCAATAACGTTGAATCTTTTTAGGCGGTGAGTAACAGTGACCTCTAGTGTTAAAAATAAAAACTGCACATAAAGGCATATTCATTTAAAGAAATGGAACACAGGAGGGCGACAAAGAGTAAACATGTTCCTTGGTATTGTTGAAATATTATTCCACTATGAATTGTAATTCTAATTAAGTTAATTTAGTTTTCGACAAAAGCACACATTTCTTCCTGGTTCACTTCCTAATGCAATAAAAACTAAAATCAAAAAGTCATTTAGCTTTTTAGTTGAGAGGAGGCAAAATCAATGCTTCCTTCAAACAAATGCAAATGTCTTAAACTTTCCAAATTTTGGAAGAGAGATTTGATGTTGTGTAATGCATAACTCAGAGCTCAAAACCTTTATCAACTTTTGTGAAAATTTTAGTTAAAAATAAATACATGATCTGTAGATACACTAGATAAAAAATGTTAAATTAAAAAATATTTAATATTAAAAATAAAAAGTATTTAATTCACACGGCAACAGTAAACAAATTCAAATTGTGATACAACTTTGTTGGAATAAATTTTTTTATTATTGAGCATAACAAACGTCATGTGTCTTTATTGACAGTTTAAATGTGTCTACCAGGAAAATAGTTTACCTTTTGTGTGTTTACCTGTAGCAGTTATTGTGGAACTTATTGTAAGAAGAAAGGGTGATGAGACCTCCCCACGCAGCCGACAGAGAGAAGAAGATCTGGGTGGCTGCGTCTTTCCACACCTGGAGGAGGAATATATAGGAATAGGCTTGAAGAAAGGAACAGGAAGTGGTAAACAGCAGAAGGGTTTTTGATGTGTTTTGTATTTTCTGAAATGATCAAACATCTAGTACCTTAGCATCATTAAGTTTCTCCCATTTTGGTGTAATAAAATAAAGTATGCCATCTGCAGCACCGGGGAGTGTGACTCCTCTGATGAGGAGGATGACCAGCACCACGTAGGGGAACGTGGCGGTGAAATAAACCACCTGAGCAGAGAGAAGGTAAGAAGGTTAAAGAAAATGTAATAGAGATTGCAGTGGCTTAAAAAAGGAAAACCAATAAACAGTTTAATGTAATAAATGTAACTTCACCAATAATAATGTATTGTAATGGTACATATTTCACATTTGTGTGTATAAACACAAAGTCAAAAATACGATTCCATATATCCTCTGGACAGGGATCAGCTTCATACAATTTGTCCAAATTTGGAAACATTTGCACTCGGGTATGCAAAATAACTGAAAATGAGACTTAGAGTTCAATTGTGCAATAACTAGTTTTTTTTATGTGTTGCAACTCGTAGTTTTCTCCAGCAGGTGGAAGCATAATACAGAAATAGAATGAGTCTTAAAGTCTCAGTAAAGTTTTTCTCAGTCTTTAAAGTACTTGTTTATTATTTCATTTATTAGCTAATACATTCTACCCTCAATGAAGAACATACTGTATGTTCGATGACTCATTCACTGTAAGATCACTGTTACAATCGCTTGCACGCTGTAACGGTAACGGCTATTAATGGTTTAAGGAGTTAACGTAGGAAATTACTTCTCAGCATTACATCCAATAAAATCGCAATTTTAATGGCAAAAAAATAGAATCGTTTTCGAGAGAGTTTGCCACCCGGAGGTCCTGAGAAGAATAAAATGTCTTCCCAGGACCACCGAACCCAGGCGGGTCAGAGGATCATTTTGTGTGGTTTTTCTCTGTACCTTCCCTGATGACTTGATTCCTTTAGCTAGAGAGGCGTAAACAATGAGCCAGGCCAGAAAGAGACAACCAGCCAGAGGCCAGCGAAGATCTCCTGGATATTCGATCCCTTTAGAGATGTGCAACACATTGTACCTGCAGGGGGCGGGAGAGAGGGGGGTTAACACCACAACACTTAGCTACAAATGACTGAATTAGGCAAGTCAGTGAATGCAACAGCATTTGTTATTATATTATTATTATTATTATTATTATATCAGGTACTTGGATCCGCTTAGTTTCAATATTGATAATTGTTTCTGTTACCAAGGCTCTAAAAGGTATTTGACATTTTTACTCATTTTCACAGGAACATAAAGTGAAATTCCTAATCAGATTATGTTTTCTAGTTCAGCAGTCCATCACAGGGACAGATACAGACGCAAATACTACTAACCTACTCCTGATACACTACAAGACGCGCTCCACAATAGAGGGGTGGGGGGGGGGGGGGGGGGGGGGGGGCACTCACTTGAAGTACTCCTCGCTGGGGCTGACATACGTCTTGTTGGCGTCCGCTGTCATGTTTATCAGTTTTGTCAGGTTTCCCACAGCGTTAGCAGACAGACAGAAAGTGCTGTTCTTGATGGAGGTGATGTTTCTGTCACGTAGGATGCACGAGTCTGTACCAATCACACACCAACACACATCAGCATGAGTCTGACGGACAGTGGAGGGGGGAGCAGCTAGGGGGCGCAGTTTACTGACCACATTACAGGCAGAATATAATGCCGATTTAATTGAATTTAATTTAGGTTAATTTATCCAAATAAGGCCTGATGGGCTGATGGCCTCCTGCTGTCAGTACTGACAACTGCACCCAGCAGCTGCATCACACACAGTTACATTCACAGTTATTAACCGAAAACAACAGACTGAGATCCATATACATTTTTTTGCTGTCAAACCATAATTTTGCATTTTTAATGATTTTGAAATATTGTAAATTTTAGTTTTAAATAATGACTCAATAAATCGTTTTTTGTAATAATAAAATCGTTCGTACAAAAATGTAAAAAACAACTGTGACCGCATGTCAGACATTTTCACACAGACAGAGGACAATTGAACACGATCACTGCGACATTAATAAAACGTTTTCCTTGAATTACATATAACTTGTATTAGATTAAAATAGGGTTGAAGAAAAATAACACCAATAATAAAAAAGACCACATTTGTTCTGATAGATTCGCCCTAATAATTAATTTATCGTGCTTTAAAACTTCTTTATTCATAGAATCGAACAGAGAGAGAGATGGAGAGAGACAGCAGCATTGAACGGAGAGGCAGTTTATACATCCACCAGCAGAGGTCAGTATGAGGTCCACTGCAGCACTGCAGCAGGAGCTCCGTCGGTACAGTAAATTTGTCAAGCAAGCATATTTTGTGCTGAATTCACAGAATCGCTAAAGGCAAATTCAACACTAAATGAACAGAATTTTCAATATATATTTGACGCCGATCGACAGTAAAACACCTCCTCGCTCCGACACGATCATTTACCCGCAATCTAAATTGAAATTTATCAACGTTTTCCAATTAAATCGGGGAATTACGCACACGTTTGGTTGTGTACTAAGACTTCAACTGTTTTTATAAACACTTTTTATCTGTCACCATCACACGGAAACATGAAATGATGTGAAAATGATTTTAATCTGTTCGGAGGCCTTCTCTACACACGACTGGCCTTCACCTGTGGTCACAGATCAAACGGATAAATGTCGTGCTGTGAATGTGAAGCGAGTTAAAACACCGCATAGATCACAGGTCAGGATTCATTATACTGCAGGACACCTCAGCTGAGGGAGGCATGACGCATTGCGCATTGTGAAGAGAGGTGCTCCTTTTGGAGTGGGAGCCTTTTTATGCACTGTGTGTGTGTGCGTGTGTGTGTGTGTGTGTATGTGTGTGTGCAGGTGAGAGTCTTACCCAGCAGCAGCATGTCTTTGTCCTTACATTCCACCGTGTTCCACTCATTCCTACAGTTAGCCCATGGCAGTGAGCCCTTCAACGAAGCGAACAGGTAGTACAGTGTCCAGCACATTATAATGTTATAGTATATGGCTATCAAGACAGATATAATCAACATGGCAATCCCGCAACCTAAAATAAATAAATGAGACGAAATATATAAATTACTCTTAAGAAAGAAGTAGAGAACCTTTTGGTGAAGAAATAAGAAATGTTGTCATTTTTTATTTATATCAATTTCTTTGGCAGTTTACCTTGTAGAGCCGGAATGCATTTCCACACCGAGACGGGGCCCTGGCTGGCAAACTGGCCCAGGGACACCTCCAGTAAGAAGATCGGGATCCCGGCTATTCCCAACATGGTCAGGTAGGGGATCAAAAAAGCTCCTGCAGGAGAGAGAGTGACAACCGGGCTGCAGTGTATTTCTTAAAAGCCATAAAACATCTCTAAAAACTAACAAGAGCACGGCTCAAATACAATGATGATCATCATAATAAAATAATAATAATAATGGTAATAATTTAATACAATTAATTGTTTTCGTTTAAAAATTACCTTTATTTAAATTTGAAGTTGCTTAAATAATATTAACTGAAAGGCAACCATAAATAATAACATAATTAACAACATAATGTTTACTTTTTTCGTTTGTTTCTTTTACAAAAATGCATTAAACTCTTACCTCCCCCATTTTGGAAGGCAAGATAAGGGAACCTCCACACGTTCCCGAGTCCCACTGCATAGCCCACCATGGACAGAATAAAATCCAGTTTATTGGACCAGTTTCCTCTGGCCTTATTCTCATCTCCATCACCATCCTCGTCATCGTCAGTCTGACACGGGAGAATAAAAGTCATTGGTATATTTATTAAAATAGGTCTGGTCACAGAGAGACTGGTTAAAGAGCGTAGATATTAGATAATTTGTCAAAGAAAACTTTGGTGAAAAAGATGACACAATAAATAAAAATAACGTGAGTGTTTTGAATGTGTCTCTTGAATGTTGTGCTCATGTGTTATTAAATATCTGTATTACAGTTGACTTGAAAAAAAACATTTAAAATGCCACGAATGTGCAATTGCACCTGATGTGTTTTTTTTTTTAAACTCCACTGCAGCGGCAGCCACCGTTACAGTGTGTAAAGGAATGCACGTGCGTGGCAGCGTGTGTGAGAGAGAGGGAGAGTCGGGAGGAGGAGAGGGGAAGTCCTCTCGGGGATTGGGAACAATCCGCAGTCTGGTGTAATAGCTACAGCGCTGTCTGTCAGCCGGATAACACCTGGGCTTCTGGGCCATACCAAGAGCGTTTACAGGGAGCCGGGAACACCGAAATGTCCCGCGAGATTATGACTCAATTCTTTTTTTTCTTTTTTCTTTTTTCAATCAAATGAGCCTGTTGAAATAGTTTCAGCAAAAACCATTAAAACATGGGAAAAATAATAATGCAAAACGAATGAACCTGTGGAGGTGTGCAGTTGAAGAGACAGGAGGTAACTTCAGCTCAGGCCCAGTCTGATGACACGACACAGCACATTTAGCTGACATAAGCGCATTTCAAAGTTTAGAAGACAGACCTCATCAGACTGCTGCAGAGGTTTTAGAACAAAGAGGCTGCGCAGCGCCACCACAGACAATCACTGAGCCATAAAACACCAGCCGTGGAAGAGTTACTGTTGATTTAAAATTATTTTGTCTGCACAATATTGTTTACTGCGGCAAAACTGGGCAAAGAGTCACTGACACGTGGAGACTCCGCAGATGTTACAGCGCATCTGTGGACAATGGGTTGTTTTTATTACTATTATCATTATTATTTATTTTTCCCCTTTCTACAGCACCTCCAAACCTCTCAAAGACACCGTGTAATATCGACTATATCTTCTACTCCTCATTTAATCGAATTCTATTCGTTTGTAACACTAATTGACCAAAAGCACACGAGTAAATCGAATTCCAAACAAAGGAAGAAAACAAAAGGAACACCACACATGGACATTTTTACACACACACACACAAATGATGAAATCCGTTCTAACAGCAGCATGAAGGAAATCATATTAGATCTACTTGAAGTCACGGCCCATCATCAGACATCTAATGCGGTCTGGATGAGGAGCAGAGTGCCTCAGGTAACTCATTCACAAACACAAATGCTGTATTTATTGCTGACTTACCCCCGCCACGGTGCAGGGCTGAACAGACGTGTTCCCATCTGTTCCCAGTATGATGGTGGTCTGGCTCATAGCCGTCCAGTTGCCTGCGGTGTTGTTCTGCTCTGCCGTGGCCCGCAGCGGGTCGCCGTACTTGGCGGACCCGGAACCGGCGGAATCTTTCCTGAAGGCCGAGTTGGCGGCCACGGGTCCAGAGACAGCCGGAGGAATGTTTTTAAACGTCCCATAAGCTTTGTTGCTGTCCGTGTCTCCCGGTTTATTTTCCGTGGGACAAAAAGTTTTGTTCTCGTTGCACGGCTGCTGCGGCGGCGGTTGAGGGGCCGGGTGAGAGTGAGGATGAGGGGCGGGCGCTGGGCATCCGGCAGTGTTGTTGTCCGTTTTGTTGCTTGTAAGTCCCGCAGCCGCGTCGCGCTGCTGCGCCGGATTGTAGCCGACAGGCGGGTTGGCCGAGGGTTTGGCCACATCCTTCTGGTCAGAGAAATCCTGCAACATTACAACGTGTCAAACCAGCTGTTCTTAAATACATAGGAAAGAGAAAAGCAATGGAGCAGTGATGAGGTTACTGCGCATCATCCGCACTTCACGACTGAAAATGCTCAATTCTCTTTCTGCAACGTTTTTCTGCAGCAAATTCTGGACTGGCTGCAAGACAACCGGCTGCGCTTGTGTGTGTGTGAGAGTGTAAGTGTGTGTTTGCGCGTGTTAGTATGGATGTGGCTGTGCATGTGTATTGGAGGGAGGGGGTTACTTTGCTTCTCCAGTTCTCGCTTTCTGCAAGATTCTTTAATTTTACGCCCCATTTCCCCCCATGTCATTCAGCCACACACATATCCAGTGTTTTTTATGGGTAATAGACAAGCTGCTGCCGGTCTCTCGGTGGCTCCACTCTCCCCGCCAGGCATGCGAGATCACCGGGGACACAGCAGTGAGCGGACCCGAGGCGTCGAAATTACAAATGATCCCCTCAAACTTAGCTCCGAGGGGGAGAGAAAGTGAGCAGAAAAGCATCTAGCATCCCTAAATACGCAAATTACTGCTTTTAGATAAAGAGGGTTCTTGGTTGATTTATGTCTTTTGTTAGATAGTTGGTTAGTTTAGTGGGAAAATAACTGGACCAGACTTAATCGCCTCATTGCACCACGCCTGCTACTGCCTTTGTTTAAACAGAAAGCTCAAACAAAGTGAGACAATGGAGTAAAAAATAAACTTTTCTAACGTTAGATTTTTTGGTAAATCTAATAATCTAAACACATATGACTTAAAGTTTAAATTGAAAAAAAAATAGAAATAAACTTTAATTGGAGAAGAAAATAGCCAGAAAAAGTTCAGGCGGCAAAGCAGCATTTCAGCACCTTGGACAGCGCAACTGATTAAAACGTTTAAAATGCCTCCGTTATTCACAAAAAAACAACAAAATTAAAGTTCATAATAGACACTAGACCGCGTGTAAAAATGAAAGTAATTAAGAGTGGACAAAGACTCACCATGTTTCCAGAGCTCCGTGGACAGACTTGTATCAGCTGTAAAAAGCAGCAGACAGACTGGAAGCGGGCTGGTTGTAGCTGCTC